CCGTTGTGGTGAAATCTCATCGCTAAATGGTCTTTAGAGAATGTATTATTCAACAGAACAAAAACGACATCATCCAATACACTCATACATTTGAATTGACAGCTCTCTTAAGCAGTTTGAACAACAACTGAAGATTACAATCTCATATAAAGGTAGCTTTTGTGCAACTTTGTCACCTGCAAATTACAGGTAAATACAAATAGTTTGCAACAGAATATACGTATATGTTTTTCTCTATCATCCCACTGATGAATCCCTGTTATTTACATATATAGCAAGCATGCCGTGAATGCCAGCATGCTTCTAAGATGAAAAACTTCTAAATATTTCTGATTAAGCCTTTCAGTATGTTCAAATACCATCTTTAATTCAGAGGGGCAGGACATGTCTCCCATTTGCTCTGCTGCTCGACATGCACGTCTTTCTGTCACAGAGAGACATCCTGTCAGCCACTGAGCTGACAGGAAGTCCTCAGGGACGAGAGACGAGTGCTGACAGTGGGACAGAAGCAAGAACACAGCTCACCCAATTACGCTCTCCCACATTTATACTCCCGCTTCCACTTTCGCTCTCTTCTCTCTCGCTTGCTCTTTTGTTCTTCACTTTGAGATGCAAACTAAGGAAGGAGTGAAAGGAGAAGAACCTACAGCATGCACAAACTGAAGATTGATGGACGGACGATGGATGTGTTGAGCTGTTTCCTAGCTCGCCACAAACACAGATATTTGCTTAAAATATGCCATCACGTTCTGAGTAGGAACCAACTGGGAACAGACGTGCATGTGTGTCGTTGCAGGGTGTTCTCCGAGGTGCTGGACTGTGGGGGGGGGAGTAACCGCCCTTGAGGCATGACTGGTGTGGTAATGGGCTTCTGGCCTTACCTCGTGATGACGACTTTGCTACGGAGAGCCATCCATCCACATCTTCTGTTGGGGAGAAAGAGAACAGAAGTGTGAGCGGCCGAGCTATTGAGGCAGCATAGATAGTGTATTTATTGACCCAGGTTTATTGGAAAAAACACGTCTTCACTTTCTATTCCATGTGTCAGTGACATACAGTTGATAGATATTTAGCCTGAACGTTTTTTTAATCTCCAGACAGTAATCAAACTCGTCCGGTAGTGCTTGACATTTTATCGATCCTACATGGATCCGGCTCAATGAACATAAAGGACATTCCTGACACATTTTGTATGGCAAAAAGCCTTGTGTTGTTAAAGGCTCTCTGTACTCTAGAGCCAACGGCAAACATTTGTTTTTGCAGCTCACTGTTCTGTCATTGAGGCATGAGAATTGGGTTTACAGGCAATGTGCTGTAAGCAGAGTCTCTTCTCTGTTACACATGGCAGTTTATTTTTAAGTGGCATTGCTTAGAAAACTGAAATCATTGGCAGAATGAGGGTAATGAATACGAACAAGTGTTGCATATTCACTGGTATTTTAGTTTACTCTTAGACTTCCTAACTGTACATCATATTTGAGCAGATACAGCCATAGCATTAGCCACTTTCTTATCCTCACAATACCTCTAAAATGTCCAAACTGTATACTGCATATTATGCAAATATGACCACCCTACTCTGTCATTTCACAATCTCAAATGTGGAGATGATGCAGGGCCCAGGCGTTGGGCTTTCTGTAACTCAGTCAGTGCTTACCTTGCAAGGCTGGTGTCTTGGTTTTCCTTCAAAACTGAAATGAGTTTCCTGGTTATTGTTTTTTGAAGAAACTTGAAGGCAGGATGCATTATATCTTTGTATGCTCTTTTTAACTGAGGTCCTTGCAGGTGGCTCCTCTATAAAAACCCTTCCTTGGTCCATGAAGAATCCTCTCTAGCTTTTTGCAGAAGTTTTATGGGATTATTCATTTATAGAACATATACATGTACACAGGGGTTTTTTGTTCAATATGAAGGTTCATATTGGTTTATCTATAAAGCTGAAAAAGCATTTTGTCAGAAAGATGACTTTCAAAAACACAAAGGAGCTTAGGTAAGAGATGTATGTTGATTGAATGTATCATCTTCACTCGGAGAGAAGACCATCAATTCACGATGTTTAATGTCCTGTTTCAAGGATCAACAGCAGGAAATCTGGGAGTAGTAATATCCAGATTCCATAATTTACATTTTAAAGGGGGACAAAGGAAAGGACATTTTCTCAGCCTTGATTGGTATTAACTCCAGGTCTATTTCATAGCTTGATAATGTTTTGTACGGTATTTACAATGTATTTAATATGTCTAGCAGTATATGGCTTAACTCAAATCCAAGATACATCGGAGATCCTTGTGTCTTGTACCTCTTTGGAGATTAAAGTAAGCAGAGAGGTAGTTGCTGGTGTGACAGAAGCCTTTTCAGAGCGTCAAACAGACCCACTTTAACCAATCAAAACTAAATACAATTAGAAGTTGCAATAACTTCTCGTATTCAATGATTTTAAAGGAAACATTCAAACTAGATACAAATCTTCAGGAGAGACGGTAGCCACTTTTAGTATCTCAAGATGCAGGTTTTAGTGTCTGATTACCTTATAAACATTTCAATCAAATTACATTTTCTGATTTAATGTCCTTCGGTCAGTTTTTTCTTATTTTGTCTTTTGTATAACTTTGTTTAGACTCTGGGGCGTATGAATACATTTATCCAATCAAAAGTGATTTGGGACAGGTTTATTGTTGCCTCGTGGGACGATGTTTACATCAACTCGCCAACTCAATTATCTGTTTGAAGCTGCTCCGACCGGCCAAAGTCACACATTATTCATTTAAGGCTTATTTCATTATCCTCCCTGACTCTGTGAACTTCCTCGCCTCCTTCACTGTCTCCTTGCTTTCCTTTGCAGCGGACGTCTCTCCACACTTTGGTCAATGTTCGGACTTCACCACCACAGCTTGTTCCTCTTCCTTTCTCTGCAGTGCTTTTGATATTCAATGTGCTTTTATTCAAACTCCATTTCTGGATTTTAGATCAATAGGAGCTTTAGGGGTTTTCACGGTAGGCTGCTTGTTTAACCTTTGGCTGGACTGATGTGTGTCTCTGTGAAGGACTTTTCAACATGTTCTCAGTGTGTGCTTCCTCTTCGCGGATGAACTTTGGTTACCTTTAGGGAAAATGGATACCGAGGAATGTAAACATGGTGAGAGATGTTGTCTCCAGTCCTTTCTTTTCTCATCTGGTTTCTTCCTATCGTGCCTCGTGGTTGGATTACCTATGTTGTTATTTTTCTGTCTTTCTTAATCTATACACAACATCTTTGCACTTCTCTTTGTCCTGGGAGAGGCATCTCTCCTTTGTGCTCTCCCTGAGGTTTCTTCTATTTTTCCCAGCATTAATTGTGGTAATATATATCAATATATTCGGGGTTCTATGGAAATATTCTTGTGTACTATGAAGATCTAAGGACAGAGGGTGTTGTTTTATGAACACACTGTTAATACCCCGGAGAAATGTGTGATTTTTGGCTAGATAAATTACATTAATCGATTGATTGAATTTCCGTAACGATAAAATGGATTTGCATTGTACACTTTGAACCACAAAAAGTGTTCACACATTGTTGGCTCAGATTTTCAAAGGTACCTCCCCCATTGGTTACTAACTCACCATATTTTAATTGATTTATTTGTCAAATGAATTGATTCTGTATGCTGATTATATCGTGAAAGGTGTATTTCTATATTACATAGTAAATATAACATTGCCAATTTATTCCTTTTCATTCCCATGGAAAGTTTTCACCTTGAATATTCATATTCTGGACCAAACTATTGAACTGACTGATCATCGGGCTGTCGTTTTTGCCATGCCACTAGGAACAAAATGTTTTTTACTCTTTAAAATGTACATCAGTTCTGGCCTTAAAATGAAGTGTCGGTCATAGGCTCTTAAATTGATGCTGTCACGGTTGCCATGACTAGTGAGTCAAAAAATATCGCAGACAGGAACTTTTGCTGCATTGTATTTGACGAAAAAATCATTAAAATCCTTTTTAATTGGAGCATTTTCTGGATGTCTAAAAAGCACCAGCGCTTATTAATGATGAATCCACCGCGGAGACGTCTCAGTGCTGCGTGTTCCTCAGTAGAGCTTGACATTCGACTGGCCGAAGGTCCCGGTCAAATTTAAACCCGGTTGCTGTTACATAATGTAGTCCTGAGACTGCCAGGCGCTCAGCTTCCCCCCCCGAGGAGACCCATGTTTCACTGCCATGGTTTAAATAGGCTTGACAGCGCTGAAGTCTCCTCCTCTGCCTTGTTCTCTGGAGAAAGTGTTTCTGCAGTGCTGCCGAAAACTGTGACAGTTTCCCCTATCAGCGACATAACAGACCTTTTTGAAATTGACAAAGCGTACTCTTTAAGGTGTGTAGATGACAGCAGAACAGCGCTGTCTAGACATTAAAGGGCCTGCAGGGCGACGAGAGGGTGGAGAGACTCTATCTCTGCACTCAAATCTTTACAAACATGTTACCAGGGTCCTCCTTGTCCTCATTTTCAGTATTTTTCTCCTGCTCCTGTTATTTTTTGTTTTATAAAATGTATTTATTTAAACAGAAACACAAAAAACAGTTGCTTTAGGAAATATTCTTCTCTTTGAATATGGATTTGATTTGAGGTCTGACATTTTTTCTTGCATCACAGCAGCTCCATTCGCAACATCAACAAGGACGATACATTGAAACATACTTTTTATATCACATTGAAATAACTGAAGACAATATGTTCAAGACCTTTAACTAATATTTGACCTGGGATTCAACGCTTTACCAAATATTCAATTTTAAGTCTATAGCGAGTTATGTGACTAAGGTTTGTCAGGATATGGACATGTGTATTTGCTCTATGTATTTCAGCAGCTGTACAGTAAGAAATGCTCTCTAAGGCAAACCTTTTTTTACATAGTCCTTGTCAACCTCTTCTTTTATGATCGGTGTACTCACTAGTCCTAATAATCCTCTCTTGTTCAAGATGGTGTATATGTGACCTCTGACCTCTCCTCTCCAGATGACTCGGGGGAGGAGGAGCCCACATCCCAGTCGGACCGCAGCGAGCTCCAGGGCACCCTGAAGATCCTGGTCAGCAAGCTCGATGACCTCAGCACGTGTAATGACCTGATCGCCAAGCACGGGGCGGCCCTGCAGCGCTCGCTCAGTGAACTCGAGGGGCTGAAAGTGCCCGTGGAGGGGGGGGAGAAGATCAAAGCAGTCAACGAGCGAGCCACCCTCTTCCGCATCACTTCCAATGCTATGATCAATGTAAGTAGCCGGGACAGAGCAGTGTCCGAGTCCTGCACGCTTTGGCATGATCAGTGTGACAGGAACGCCAGCCATCTATAGTGCCCTGGTTAGCGCATGACGAGAGATGAGATGACTTTACAGTGTGACATTTTAAACGAGAGCAGCGAGGCATGGAGACCCCAGCCTTAAAAAAGCAGTTCTGGACTTTGCCAGATCCTGTCCTCTCCCTTCGCAGTAAGTGCTAAAAATACTATTTCTGACCACAGATACTAACTCTCTCCGTGGTTTACAGATTGTTTTTGCATGGCTGGATACTTGGAATAAATATCCGATGATCACAATGTTTCAATACGGATATATGTCAGATTTAAATGTGCAAAAACGAATTTATGACTTTGCACTCTTTGTCCAATTTGGCGTCACAATACTTTACAGGTGTGTAATTAAGATGAATAGGAACGTTTCACTTTAGCCCTGATCTGATTTAGATTTGCAGCTAGATTTTATCCCATTGATAAAAGGTCTTTTAAGTAATGTATAAGCACAGTATAATTCAACAGTACCTCAAACATCCTTCAATACACCCTAAAGGTCCATTTAAACTTACTTAAACACAAATATTTCTTAATGAGTGTCCACAAATTATAGTAATAAAAATAAGCTTGGAGAAAAGCTCAAAGTTTAAAACAGTTTTCTGCTGCTGTTCTGCAGGATAAGTGAAATACAATTGATTGAAGATATTTCAAAAGCACACTTACTCAGTACAAATCTACGCCTATCTATTACATTCAGAAATAAAGGCACCCGTCCAAAACACCTCTATAAATAATCCCTCTTCCAAAATAACATATTGCAGTTAAGTTGAACCATATCAGCTTCATTTCACACGTAACACCCACTACCAAATATGAAGTCTCTACTATATGAACAGCAGCATGTTCTCTACTGTTTCTGCTGCTGGTCCATTCTCCTCTCTGGGCTTCACACTTAGTTAGCAGTGGACGAGAGTTCAGGGAGAGTTGAGGTGCAAAGGATACTGGATATGATGGTGGGTGGGTGGAAGGGGGGACAGGAATAGCCCTTAAACCCCCCTCAAACCCTCCACCCCCCCCTGCCTGGTGAGGATAGTCAGAGGCTTCTGGACTACAGACAGACAGACAGACCTGCTCTGAAAACCAGACAATCGCACAAGGTTTGTCTTTCCTTCTGCTTCTCTCAATGGCTTTGCTGCTAGCGTTGTTTCTTCTTGTGGTAGTTGGTGTTTAATGAGGCTTTAACGCATACTCACTGTTAAATGTCTGGCTGTTCGGTCAGATTCAGTCATGGTTTGGATTCTGAATCAAGCATTAGGTTGGGATCAGGCAATAGCAAATGATAACTCTTCAATCTTGAAATTTGTTCTCAAACAGCTTGTTAGGAAACTTGAGATGGAAAAAAAGGAACATCTAAATTGTACTTTTTATGTGAAAGGTCTTTGCTAAAAAATAATGAGCTTCCTGTTTCTCTCTGTCACCCATTGTCTTTATTAATTGGCACAGGAAATTGAGACTCACTGGACAAGCAATACAAAAGACTCTTGGTTTGCCTAACTCATTAAAATGCCATCAGTATTGCAGAGAACACGCTTCTAATGAGAAAAAAGTGCTGCCCATACTCCCTGTAGCGATTCTTGGGCTTGTAAATGACTCCTCAAGCAGGAGGCAGTGCAGGGTAAGGGCTTTTGGATTTCTGCACCCATGTTTTTAGCAATTTTAGGCATTTTCTTGAAAGTAAGGGTTGTGGTTTCCCAAAGACATTGGGTTAGGAGGAGTGGTTGAGGGAAGAAAGAGGTCATAACGATAAGACACCCCTGCATGTTCTCTGTGATCTGACCCTCGTTCGAGGAGATGGTTGCTTTAGTTCATTTAGTGGTGATGTAACTCGCCATGTGTGACATTGAATCCAGGCTTTTGCCGTGTGTGTGTGTGCCTTTATCACACCTACCTATTACTCAAGTTCATTGTACTCTTGTCTACGTCACTCATTCAGAACTTCCCAATCTGACACTGAGATCTGTTGATGCCACCGTAAGCCCTTTTCCACGCACATTCTATTTTGGCCTTTGTCTTGTCTTCCCCCCCAACGGAAGTCACATGCAGTCTGTTTCAACCTGAGACTCAGCATTAATTCAAAAAGGAACTATCACACTTTCTACGTCAGTGTTGAGTTTCATATCGTGTTTAACTCTGAGGAAGTGGACCACAATGTCACGTGCACTTCTTACATTTAAACTGAGGCTCAGACAATTATGTTCATTCAGGACTGCTGGAGGTAAGGATGATTTTACTATCGGAAGTGGTGGGGTTTCAATTGATTGTTTGAGGAAAAGTTATGTTCTAATTTATCTAAAGCCACTGAAATGTAACTTTTGTAAAGAGTAGGTATGTTTATAATTTCAGTATTCTAAACCTATAATGAAATTACAACATTAAAATACATTAGACTTAATAAAATGATTAGTAACTTTCTCGCAACAAGATGATTGTTTACCTTTAGAGTTAAGTAATACATTTACAGGAAGTTCTGATTAAATAGTTATTTATATAAGGCCTTCAAAAAACTGTTGCACAAAAATACTTTAACCAAAAGTTGTTGCCACTGGCATAATTACTCTTAAGGTAGATTTCATGGTAACAAATTATATTCTTACATATTAGACGAAACACTGCAGGCCTCCTGGAATTACATCAAACATAGGGAATTATTAAAATTCCTTTCTCTCCGACACACTCCCACTTGCTTGAAACGTCTCATTTGGACTCCATTACAATTGTGGGGGAAACTTCTGAAGCAATTGGAAACAGGACTCAAGAGGCACGAGGAGAGCTGGAGCTTTGGTGGTAAACACTGACGGTTTATTTGGAGTTACGGACGGAGAATTGACAAGACGGTGTGTCACGAGTTGACACAGCGGTTGCCAAACCAATTCTGAAGAACCCTTTCTGTAGCTCAAGGTTTTAACTAGTTCAGAGTGTAAAAATCAACATTCTTCATCAGTGAGACTAAAGCAATATGGACCCTGAATCTAACTAGAGCTCTCGTCAATAGAAAAGAATGTGCGCCAGGGAAGCTACGTCCCTGAACAGTAAACAACTCATAGCGGCTTGTGCTCTGTCATAGACTGGCAACAACAATGCGCCCAAGCTGCTCCTCCTTAAGAGAGATAGCAGCAATACCCAAGGCCGTAGAACCATGCCATGGGAAAAGAGACGGTAAAGAGAGAACACGATGAACTGTGTCGAAGGTTGAATACCTAAGCAAATTATTCCCTAACAACAATAATAGTTATAAAAGAGTATTGCTGGAGGACACATTTGTTTTTGGTTTGTGATGTAGCTAAATAGATTTACTGTAAATGATCATATAAATACAAACATAACACTATAACTCTCTGTGAAGGATCAGAAAACTCAGCATAGCTACATGTAGGGCATGACATAATGATGATATTGTAAAAGTAATATATAGTTCATCTTAAATTGTAGTTTTACCAATCAAGTGGTATTTCTTGGATCTGTTCCTGATTTCTCTTCTCTCTGCGTTGGCCAAGTGTGCGTCAATGTCAGTGTGATCAAGACAGCAAGACAACTTCAATTATACTACAGTATGTCAAATGACAAAAGAAAGTCCAATAATCATAATAATTTAATATGGGAAATTGTACAGCAATATCTTTTTTGAATTAGGTTGCTAAGGAAGATTAAAGACCTGAAATTACACATAATGAATGTATTTAGAAATATAACATAATTTCAAACTTCTTCAAAAAGTGACAACAGCTGTGTATCATTGTTATATTCTGATTGTGTGTAAGATAGATATGCTTCATTTGAACAATGGCTGAAAGCACTTTTAGACAGATTAACACTCAAGAGTTCAGTGTTAGCAGATCCTTGTTTTTCGTCCTGCTGCCTCAAAGTGATACTGCGCTCTCACCTTCCAGAGAACAGAGATTACTTTTGAGACACATTCGTCCCTCCAGCTCGCTGCCCGCAGTCCAAACTTTATCTAAAAGCTTACACTTAGCCGCCCGTTTTGCTCCGGATCCAAAGAGACATTTCCTGCACTGAGTGGAACAAATGTTATCACGTGTTGCTGGGAAGAACAACGAGAACAATGACAATTCAACAAAATGCTTGATTGCAATAAAGCAGTTTCCAAGAGATTATTCAGAAACAATGCTGACAGCTCAATGACTGTCACATGACAATTTCATCCAGCGTGTCCTCAGCTGTGAGGTGTTAAGTAGGTTCATTGTCCTTCGAGCCCACTGCGATGCGAGGCTGTCAGACAAACGCTGACATGCAAAATATTTCTGATCTGAAGTAACCTCTCAGCAGTGAAAGCGAGGCAGCAACAATGATGTCCCCACTGGACTTAAATATAGACTGCTATGCAATCAGATATTTAACCTTAGCTCTTCATTCACTGATATGAATCATGTTATTCAGAGATACATTTCACACAGCAAGGAGCAGACCGATATTAACATATTGATGATTGCTCCAAACAATGGCGATAATTAACCTTGATTACAGTTATTGGCAAGCATGTCTTTTAATATGTTTCTATACCACTCTTCTCTCTCTCTGTTGTACGCTGTCAGGAAAAAAGTGATCAAATATTGTATCATTATAGTATAAATAGTAAGTTAGCATTAAGAGGTAAATGTTGATTGAAAGAGGGAATGGCTTTGGCCGGTAAATAATTGGATTTGAACCGTCGTGTATAATGTAAGTAGCTACCACTTGCGGGAAGTTGAAAAAATGTCTGTCTCTACTTTAGATGCAAAAATCTGACCTGCAAGTCATTTTAAGTTGAAAGCCACTCGCACATTGTTGAGAATTAAGAATATCAAAATGTATTTAAAAATAAAATATTTTTAGATTGTATTTTTTAGAAACTAAACGTTCGGTGCTGTCTGTGTGTTTGTGTTCCCCCAGGCGTGTCGAGACTTCTTGGACCTCGCAGAGACTCACAGTCGGAGATGGCAGCGCGCGCTGCAGTATGAGCGGGAGCAGCGGACCCACCTAGAGGAGACCATTGAGCAGCTAGCCAAGCAGCACAACAGCCTGGAGCGAGCGTGGAGAGAAGCCCCCACGCTGGTCTCCACCACACCCAGCGCCCCCACCGCCAACAAGGGTAAGATGGGCTGTTGGTTACTCCTGTGGGCCCCCAATGTAGACTGGCTTAAAGTCATGTGGGAGTCGGACCTCAGGCTAGATACAGTACTCATTCTGAGGAAGGATATTTAAAGTTGTGTCAGAAGGTTTGGATTATCTCCAATTTAGAGATTGTAATTACCTTTACCAACGACTGTATGTCATGTGCACTCTTCTGTTAATCTGTCCATCCAATTATTTATTTTCTTGTTTGCATAGCTCTCAACAACATGTGGAAAACAGACGCCTGGGCTGGAAACACATTTGTTGTGCACATCATGCAAGAGGAAGAAACCTATTGATTTTTGCGACCTCATGACCTAACCCTACTGAGAAATGACAGCACAACTCAATAGCAAAACAGGAACTGGTGTAACTTAATAAAAGCTGAGCATTAAGTAACAGGAAAGAAGAAATGATCGATGGAGAGGTGTACTAGTGACGGTCTAAGAAACTGGACAAGCATTGCCAGAGATGGGGTCGTTACTAAAAAAAAGTAATATATTACACTACTTCGTTACTCTCTACATTAAGTAACTCGTTACTTTACTGTTACTTTACTCGCAGGGCCGGCCCGCCCCTCCCTACAGGCAGATCACGCAGACTGCGGCGCACCTACAGTGTAAGCGCGCCACAGTTTTGCCTCTGCGAGACTCCACTTGCCCCCCAATTACTATTGCATTAAGGAAGACATAACACAAGTCTTTCTTTGTATATGCTCTAAAATAGGCTACCAGCCTACCACAACAAGCTAACAGTCTGTGAAACGTCAAGACACTAATTAATGAAACCAGTTCAAGACGCATTATTCTTATCATTCTTTATGAGCGCATAACGGTAAGTTATCTAATTACTTATTTATTTAGTATTCCATAACTTAGTAACAGAGATGGTCAAACTAAAGAGACATGGCAAAATTCCTACAATGAAGCGGGACATTGAACTGTTCACCCGTGAGAGGGCGATCAACAAAAGAGAGCGAGCGGCCCCGTTGAGGGAGTTTACAGATGAGAAGACTCAGCCATGTTTATGCAGCACTGCACGTGGAGATGTGGTCCCGCAAGTCGCGCAGATTACATAGGCCTACATGTATATAAACCTGCGGCGGAAACCCCTCTTGTCTGTCAGTGAGTGTGATTATTTTATAAAAGTAACGAAGTAACGCGTGTCGGGGCAATGTTAGTAACTGTAGTGCGATTACTAAATTATAAAAGTAACGCGTTACACTACTCCGTTACTTTGTGGCGCGTTACACCCAACTCTGCCCATTGCTTAGGGCTTTAGATGCTGAGCGGGATCCCTGAAGTCGCTGCTTTGTGTACAGCCAGGGACCGTTGTTGCATCTCTCTTGCTATCTGTATTAAATCCTGAACCCTGAACCCCCCCCAAAAAAAACAGGAGAAAAATGTTCAAGTTTCTTCTCTTACCACCAATCAAAGTCTCTATTACCATGAAGGCAATCTTTACTCAACAGTCAACAAGTTGTTAAAAGTTGCTGTCACTGGTTTCCCCCTCAACCATAGAGGAAAAACATCGTACAAATGTGGGATTTGGAAGGTGCTGAAAAAAAAAACGATTGTTGTTTTTTTAAATATCTGGATTTTAAGTGTTCTGTCATTTATACACAGCAATGCTGGCTGTTACGGTAAGCTTATTTCGAGACAGCATAACTCATGTTGTGTGTTATGCAGGCACCTTGATAAATAGGCTTGAATAGAAGCTTGTTTTAAGGTGAAAAGCTACTATTTCCTGAAAGTACAGTCACCTGATCTGACTTGTGTTTTACTCACTGAACATGGTCGTTTATCCTTAATTATTTTACTTTCATTAGAAAGTACTCTTATTGAATGTTGGATACTGCACATCCTGAGGAGTGTGCATCCTTCAGGCTAGTTAACCAGCGGGAACATTGCCAATTTAACTAAGCTGATTATTCCGTGATTAACGGCCGGCCATGGGTACGTGATTACACGCCGCTCTCCTCTGAATTCTGTCGGATACAAACTCACCACCATGTGATGGCTCTGCTAGTTTTGGATGCTGTTTCCGTTGACTCACCAAGGTATATGTGTTGACAGGAGGGAGTGAGAGGCTGCACAAAGAAGAGGCGAGTGATGAAGATGGGGATACTGAGTACTTTGACGCCATGGAGGATTCCCCTGCATTCATCACAGTGACTGCCACAGAGAACACACAGCAGAGGTCCGTCACACACAGAGATCCAATATTTCTTTATTTTCAAAGACAGATAAAGGGATGAGAGTTGAGTTTTAACATGTAGTCTTTTATTAAAACATTCTTTGGATGCTCTAATTTGTCATAATAGTGAATTTGACAGGCTGACAGCTGAACAACTGAGGATCAAAGTGAAAACAAACAAGTGTTGTGCCCTTCACTTTTTAGTTATACAGAGAACACCTGTCTTCTTTCCTGCAGAAAATAAACCAAGGATTTTTAAAGCATAGCAATGCATTGTTTTCAGCATTGAAGCCCGTCTCTTACTGGCGATTACGATTGTTTTTGCAGAGCTTGTGCTTTCACTGTTTCTTTAAAAAGTACTTTTAGTGTTATCTTGTTATTGTTATGGCTCATCTCTGCAACATATCCAATAACTCTAGTAGCACCATTAAGAGTGATGGAAACGGTTACACAGCATTCCTCTGTTATACGCAGTAAGGTGGTTGCTCCCCTTGAAAGTATTTGTATTGTGCTCATTGTAGAAAATATTTTAATTTCAGGCGATCTCAGAGTAATTTGAGTGGAGCGAGCGGAGGTCAGCCCAACGACTGGAACCAGGACAACAACGTAAGTGTCTCTCTAGATAGTCTGACTGCAGGACTCGCAGCTCATCAATGTATGCATATATCCTTCTTCCCTCATAGTCCCTCTTTCCTGTCTTGCAGTCATTTGTACTCTCACACACACACACACACACACACATACACACACACACACACACACACAGCCTTTATCTTTGTGGTGCCAAAGATAGACGGCTGCTTCATAGCACTAAATATGAATCAAACATCTGCACTTCTCTCCCCCCAACTCTCCCTTGCTTCTTCCTCTCTCCAACCCATCTGTGTCCTCTGTTCGCTCTCCTCCTTTTCTCCCTCGCTCTGTAACTCAATCTCAACTTATACTGCCAAGCTGACCATGAAGCTTGTAGTATTTCTAAAAAAGACCACCTCCTTAATCTCAACCCTTTCCCTTTTCCATGTAATCTCAGATGTCTCCAGGTCATAAGGATGTGTCTGCGAAGGAGCTGCAGCCCTGCAGACAGAGGAGGACTCGAGTCCCAGACAAGCCCAACTACTCCCTCAATTTGTGGAGCATCATGAAGAACTGCATCGGCAAGGAGCTCTCCAAAATCCCCATGCCTGTAAGTAGGGATCCTCCTAACACTGAACTTGAAGTTTAAACTAGCCAAATAATCTTAAATTAAGAAAACACTCACATTTGAGCACAATGTAATCTACAGAGGTAAACATTGTCCAAGAAAGCCTTCTGAATTGACATTATAATAATATTACGTTTTACCAGCTAATATGTCTGCTGTTGCCTAGTGAGGGTATCAACATTTTATGGACTATTGCATGAGGCTTCATCTTTTTGTCCCTCTCACTCAGGTGAACTTCAACGAGCCTCTGTCCATGCTGCAGCGTCTCTCCGAGGACCTGGAGTATCACGAGCTTCTGGACAAGGCGGCGCGCTGCGACTCGTCCCTGGAGCAGATGTGCCTCGTCGCTGCCTTCTCCGTGTCGTCCTACTCCACCACGATCCACCGGACAGCAAAGCCCTTCAACCCCCTCCTGGGCGAGACCTACGAACTCGATCGACGGGAGGAGTTCGGCTATCGCTCGCTGTGTGAGCAGGTAGGGGCATGGCAGCAGGGAGTTTATGCTTTCACACAATGCACACAACGTCAGCCTGCTCTACACAAAATAGTCTTGTGGCCTCTAGTTGGTTTTGAGTGTTATTGAGGATTCTGGATACATTTCTGACATTACAGGACCCAAAATGGCGGTTTTCACCAGTAGGGGGCCACTTTTGTAAACCCTGTGGGCTGATTTTGAATTTTGGATTGGTTTTGAAGTTATAGGGGACTCTGGATCATCTGGATTGGACAAACTGCTAATAGATTTGAAAATAAATTGTCCACAGAAGAGGTAATCATTTTCATATTGTGCTCTATATCTAATCGTCGCAACACTACTCATAGTAGTCAAAGTCAGCCCACCAAGAATACAAATATGGCCACTTTCTGGTTTAAATATCCATATTTGGATCCTGAAAATGTCAGAAATGCATTCAGCATCCTCAATAATTACCAAACCACTTACACATTGTATAAATCGGCCAAGCAATTTGTATCAACTAGGATATGCTAATTATTGCTGATTGATGCAATTTATCCTAATTATGCAAATGACCCAACATACGCAAGTAAGAATCCGGCTGTTTCTATGTGCTGGGGAGCCATACTATACGTTTCTAACATAACACTGGCAACTATACTAAGGTTGTGTGCTGCTCATATCAATATACTTTACCTTCATGTGTATCTATCCTCTAAGGTGAGCCATCACCCCCCTGCTGCTGCTCATCATGTGATTTCCCAACGAGGCTGGACCCTGTGGCAGGAAATCACCATCGCCAGCAAGTTCCGCGGCAAATACCTCTCCATAATGCCTCTGGGTAAGACATGTTATACTCAGCGGAGAAGCCGACAAACTGTATGTGTAAATAAAGGTTCCTTTATGCAAATGTGCAGCTGGCCTACGAGGCAGAGTTTGCTTAAGAAGGACTCCACAACCCACTTGAGAGCTGTCTTCCACACACTATGAAGCCAGATGAAAGGGTGTGAAAATGAATCAGGAGGGTTTTATGACCCTTCTGACACATACATAAAGTATGGGTATAAAGGGAGCTCAGCACTGGGGCAGCAGAGAGCAGGGGTCTGTTGGCTCAGATTGATGGCAGGTTTGATAGATGCAGGTCCAGCCGGTGGGATCCATCCGCCCTCTCCCCCTTCTTGTTATATGCCTGCTGCGACGTGCCATGTTATAGAAACTCTTAAGTGGAAAGCGTTTATGGTGAAACGCATGTTATCAATCTTTCAGCGTTAGACCACACTGGAAATAGATGGAAACGTATTGCCTGCACACAAATGTGTTAGATGATGTGTGATGAAACCATTTTAACACCAGCACAACAGAACTAACACATCACTATTCAGCATTGCACATTGAGAACAAAGCAGCTGTGATATGTGTTCTCTCTTTTGTCCTTGTCCCTCCCCAGGTGCCATTCACCTGCACTTCCACTCCAGCGGGAACCACTACGTGTGGAGAAAGGTCACCTCCACAGTTCACAACATCATTGTGGGCAAGCTGTGGATCGACCAGGTCTGTTATCTGTTGTGTTGTTGTCTCTTATTGGTAGCCATTATTCCACAGCTGTAAACCCACAGCCTTAATGCCTCTGAGTAGCCTATAGATGTTTTTCTCCTGTGTTAAAGCAGTGTGAATATGAGAGTAAAAGCTCAGCACATGAATAAGGAACATCTCTAGGGATTTGTGTTCAGCTTTGATCTCTAATAACACACTCAAATAATAGCCTATATTTTCTTTGAGTTGCCCCAGTTATATAGGGGGAGGCGCTTCACATCTGTGTGCTGGAACTATTGTTTAGAAGTATTTTCTTATTTTCTTTTTTCCTGTCAACGTGTGCTGTGTGTCATGTTTGTGTGTAGCCTTGTAAGAAAAATATGGAATACATTCAAAGGAGCCCTATTATGCTAATTTCCAGGTTGTTATTTATATGATGTGCCTCTACTGGGACATGTCTCCATGCTTTAATCTTTCAAAAGGCTCTTTATTTTCCTCATACTCCCTGTGCTGCAGCACCTCTTTTCACCCTCTGTCTGAAACCAGAGCCCAGTCTGCTCTGATTGGTTAGCTGGCCGGCTCTGTTGTGATTGTTTAACTGCTTAGAGATGTCCCGCCCCATAGCCAATCACTATCACTGATACCTTGCAAACAATATGGGAACCTCATCAAAACTGCTCTATAACATTTAAAAATGTCTTTATATATGAATGAAATCAAAGAGTGCTGTAATCGGTCAGAATACTTTTCTGTCTCTGCTTTGAACACACTGTTAATAGCGTAGATATGCTATCATTCTCTGTGTGTGTTTATCTCTCTCCCTCTGTGTGTGTGTCTGTATGTTTACAGTCGGGGGACATTGAGATTGTGAATCAAAGAACCAAGGAGACCTGTCAGCTCAAGTTCTCTCCCTACAGTTATTTCTCCAGGGACGTTCCACGGAAGGTAAATGCATCCTTTCCTCACTTATATACCCGACCTTGGCATGACGTCATATTACGAGGGGTTCATTTGTCGGATGCTGCCTCCTGCTGGACAGTACCAACACATATATATGTACTATATGAGGTATTAGGTCACATTGCAGCGAGGTAACCTCCTTTTGAATGATTTAACATGGAGCACAATCCTGTCTTATTTGGTAGTGACGGATAATGTAATGCAAATGTACTCGTGTCCTCCCAAGGGGATTGCCTATCATTGGGAGTAAAGGACATGGTGATACAGTTTGACTCCCAGAAAGAAAGCCTGCTTTAGTTTCTGTATTCCCTTTAGTCATTGTTCTTATTTCCCTTTGCTCTTTCCAGGTTACAGGTGTAGTGGCAGACAGTGGGGGCCAGGCGCACTACGTCCTGTCCGGTACGTGGGATGATAAAATTGAGAGTGCCAAGATCCTTCAGAGCAGCCGGGGGGGCAGTGGCTCTGAGGGCAAACAGAAGACCGTCTATCAGACACTGTCCCCCAAGCTGCTGTGGAAGAAATACCCTTTACCGTAAGTCTCATCGGCCTCAAGACCTTTGTTTGTACATATCCTCGATTGTACAGCATGATGCTGTGTAACTCCCATTCATTTCCTCTTGCTCTCTCAGGGACAATGCGGAGAACATGTACTTCTTCTCAGCGCTGGCACTGACCCTGAACGAGCAGGAGGACGCAGTGGGAGTCACCGACAGTCGCCTGAGGCCGGACCAGCGGCTGATGGAAGACGGCCGGTGGGACGAGGCAAACTCAGAGAAACAGAGGCTGGAGGAGAAACAAAGGGCCGTGAGGAGGAGGAGGGAAGCGGACGCCTCAGACGCTCTGGATGAAGGTATGAAAAGGAGAACAGAACGTGTGGCGTGTGATACAGAGCAAAGAAGTGCTAATCAAATCACTTAGATTAGCGGGTAGTGGGAGGTTTTTTAGGTTCCAGGAGTAAAAGTGCCTTTCATTTCCTGCATAGCAGCAACATGATCAGTACAAAGAAATGTCTTCGTCGTCCTTCTATTGCCATTAAGTTTCACATATTTATGTTCATCCGAATGATGTTGTATTTTACATTTGAGGCTGTTTAAAGCTGCATATCCATAACGTGTAGTGTATATTAGGACAATAATTACTGGGGCAAACAGACAAGACCGACTTCAAATTAAAGCATTACAATAAATGAATAATATGTAGTAGCTGTTATAAAAATAATAAGTCATTTATTTATGTGGGATAATTTCTTACGGTCTACCAATCGTAGTAGTATTTACGCAGAGAACTTATCATCGTGTGTGTGTGTATGTGTGTGGCCTAGCATTACTATACTTGTGGGGACCTAAATCTGTTTACACGGTCACGTGTGGGGACTCGCCTCCCTTATGGGGACAAAATGGAGGTCCCCATGAGGGGAATCATTAATTTTAGGGTGAAGACTTGGTTACGTTTAGGGTAAGGTTAAGGGTTAGGCATGTGTTGGTTATGGTTAAGGTTAGGATAAGTCTCCAGGAAATGCATGTAAGTCAATGTAATGTCCCCTGAAGTGGTGTGTGTGTGTGTGTGTGTGTGTGTGTGTGTATTGATTGTATTTGATGTACCCATGACGTGTCTTTCTTTTCCTCCCTCTATTGATGGTCAGAGTGTGAATATGACTCTGGTGAGTTGAGGTTGCCCTGTGCCCCCTATGTTACACACACACACACACACACACACACACACACACACACACACACACACACACTCCTTAAGTGTGTCCTCTGTGTGGGAACTGCATGATACCCCTCTCATGTCAACTTCTCCAGAAAATGACTTGAGACTTTTTCCTGCATACATTTTCATTTAGAAATAATAAGATACATAAAATAACAGAAACAACTCTAAAATCTGTGAGTATTCTTAATGGTGAAGCCACATTAGCGAGTGATTCGTTTGAACTGCATCATCTTTATCCTGTCTATTCCAATGCTTATGGGCACTTTTCTGGTAAACGGATGCTTTGTTCATCTGAGTTAAATCTACATTGTGTATTTATAAAGGGAAACACAACATGAGCTGTTTGCTGTGCTGCAATCTCGCCCTCTTTTGACGTGGTTTCTGTATCAAGAAACACACTCATTATGTAGTTAAGGGAGTTCCAAAACTATGGTTAAAATATTCCCCTTGAATTGAACCAGGTCTCATGCCCGTCACATGGTATAGAGCTGTGATCCATCTCAAATGCACAGCCATCGATTGCTCTCCCTGTAGATGCATATGTATGAAGGCAAATTGCTCGCTCAGTGAATCTCCTGCAACTGTGGCCTTTCCATTAGGGTGCGATGTTAATGACAGCGATTGGGTAACACCTGTGCTTCTTCCACAGGAAAAGAATACGAAGGCTACCAGCCGCTGTGGTTTCACCAGAGGAGGGACTCAGTCACCGGAGAGACAAACTTTGTGTACAAGGGAGGTTACTGGGAGGCAAAGGAAAGACAGGACTGGAGCATGTGTTCTAACATCTTCTAACCCAGGAGCTCACCTCTCCTATCCTCAGCACACAGGGGAAACTCTGCCTCTGGTCCGTAGCTGGCTTATGAGCACCATGTGGACCTTTAGTGAGCATGAGAATACCTCCAAATGTACACTGTTTTTACTACGGGGAAAAGAAGGGTTGTTCCCTGAATCTGTGACACTATGCTGAAGCAGCAGAGAGATGCAGTTGGAGTGTTAACACCACGGAACAAATGCACCTGCACTCTCCTGAAATCAGGTGTTCCATAAATCTTACTCACAATGTACTCTCCTGGGTTCATCACATTTAAGAGATTTGACCAGATATCAAAGAAGCTCAAGATAATACAATGTGTCCTGATCCTCCGTTTCATTCAGCACAATTAAGATTATACCGGAATAAATATTTAATGACTTCCCTCTTTTTCTTCACAGGATTGATTGAAGTGCTCATTATTTGCCTCTTTTAGTTGTTTAGGAAAGATGCTAAGACCGTCTAAACCTATAAGTGTATTAGATATTGGTATCAATTATGCAGACACAAAGTGTTCAAACTTAATTAAACAAGTCAGTGAAAAATATATAGATAAAAAAAAAAGGTAACCCAAGCAAGACCTTGTGAAGTAATGCAAGCATTTGTATACACAGCTCTGTAAACCGAATGAAGTGTTGTTTCATCCTGCGATCGTTAGTTGAGTGTTATCATTTATAGCTATGACATTGTAGTATTCCTTTTAAAAGTGGTTGTAAAACAGTCACTGAGAAAAGTGACATTGTAATACAGATTTTGGAAAAGGATATTGTGAAAAACTGAATACTTAATCGCAATTAACTCTGTCTGAAATTATTTAAAAGACGATGTGTTATTTAAATGTAATGGGTTACTTCACAACTGTACGGCTTTATTACATTTTGTAATGTGATTGTTTACTCCATAATGTCTTGTTTATTAGATGGTTAACACTTTGGGTCTCCATAACCAACCGGTAATATTTGATTAGGGTTGTCTGAAGTGATGAATAATGCAGCACTGCGTAAAAAATGAATGTTTTCCTTACAGTCTGTAAACTAGTCAAAAAGACTCCATGTAGAAATGCTAATTCCTTTCATATGACATGCTTCACACATCTTCGATTTGCATTTCTGATTAACAAAGTCCCTGCAGCGGTGCATCCTTTGTAACACATCCATACCGAACATCCATATCACCTTAATATCTCCATCAAAGAACTGAATAAGCACTTACCACTGTGGTAGATCATAGGTACATATCTCTGTGTTGCTGATGAGAACATTCACTCTGTACTTTACCTTGTCCTCTGGTGCTCTCCCATAGCAACACATACCGTATCCTTGGTGAACATTTTCAGTGACTTAATTCTCAGTGGTCGTTCAAACTACACACACCAAAGCACCGAGACTCCCGGTGATCACCACACAGTGCAAACAGTGTGGTGATCACTCTAGTGTGTGAGTGTGTGAGGCTCTACGCCAGGGGTGTCCAAACTACGGCCTGGGGGCCAAATGCGGCCCGCGGACCATTTTGAATCGGCCCTCAGCAAATTAAAAAAGTATAATGGAATATGGCCCACAAATGAAACTTGTGCTTTTCTTATATTGTACTTATAAATGTAACAATATATTACACCGTAGTATTCATGTGTTAATAAGACCACCTTTCAAATAAATTCAGTCAATTAAAGTTGGAAACATTTTCTAACATATCTTAGTTGATAAGAAAAAAGCCTAATAACTTATTTACATAACAAGCTTGAAATACACCCTTCCTATTTCTCCTTATTATAATCAATCTGAGCTTCTGTTTGAAGGGATGAGCTGCTAACACACACAAGTGACCTACATTTGATTGATTTTGCTAACTTATAACTGAACTAATGGGGCAGTATACCTCTAGTCTAGTGAGTGGCCCAGGTCTTGGTATATTTTTGTGTATGTGGCCCTCGGTGAAAAAAGTTTGGACACCCCTGCTCTACGCCAGAACCAGAGACTGGAGCGGTTTCTCTGAGGCTCCAGAGGTCAGCTGAAACAAGGTCAAAGGTTATATAGGCAGGCAGGGCTGGTTCCTGTAGCCCCGACCTCAGGTGACTCTCCAGCGGCCGCTCCAGGCTCAACACAACTAACATGTAGACCTCTCACTCAGTGTTTGTGGACACACTGATCTGGGATCGGCTCACTAAGTTACCCCTCAGTCTGTTGTCGTTAATTGACTGAAGAAGGGAAAGTGTCCCCTGGCCCGTGCACTACACATCTACGGAGAGTTTTGAAAACCAGTGAGTATTTTTTTTCTAATCAATGTTAGGAATGTAGAATTCAAGGCTGGAGGTATTGTATCTACCGTCTGGTCTATTTGTGTGGATATTTTGTGATAAAAGAATGATATTGTAAAATGTAATTATACTAATCTGAGAATTGTGTTATCTGTACAGTCTAGAAACACTTCGATTGAATGAGCCTGATTTGCTGTATTGTTAATTTTGAATCAGGATTGATGCTGCAAAGATGGATGTTAACTCAATTTGGCTGCAGATCTCTTATTTTATATTTCAAAACTGTCTTAACAAACTGAAAATATTTTTTTATAGATTTGTTGATACTAGCACATTAGTACTTGTGGTTCAGTGGTTTCACAGATTAACACATGTGGCAGTTTCTCTGATGTGCAGGCCATACAGATGTACAAAATGCACTGGACAGACTGAAGACATTAATATGGTGAAGGAGATACAACAATATGGTCTGGTCAAAATGTGACATTTCCCATTAGTTAATGATTTGATAATGAATGATTGATTGCTTCTTTGCACGGATGATGCTTCTACTCATTTACATAAAAGGTTGTATTGCACTTTTGTTTTATGGACGAGCGCAGTTTGATCAATCCCTAAATCTCTTGTTCAGAAAGACATGCTTAGAGAATAATTCAACATTTTGGAAAAACACTTGCTCATTTGTTGTTGAAAGATAGATGTGAAGATTGATGCTACACGAGAAGGGTCAAACTTTGTATCTAACAAAAAGGCATATTTTTCAAAATGTCTAACTTCAATAAATACAGGTTCGGTTCTCCTCTAATCTTTATATGTACACAGACTCAAACACCTAGTGTGTACATAGACACAATCTATGTATAGAGGCTGTGTACTCAATATCAAGGGTGTCACATGTAAAGATGAACACAATTGGAGCAAGATGTTTTATGTGTTGCTAGCTTGATAATTGTACAGTCAATTCTGTATCATCACACATGACATCACTGCTGGATGGCGGTGAAGAAAATGAAGAGTTATTGTGTGATTTTCTCTCTCAGCGATCACTTTGAAGACTTTACTAGAGTTACTTAAATATATTGTGTTTAGAGGATTTTATAATTGAGAATAAGTTATATTTTGAATGATAACAGAGAGCTCGTCTTAGGTTTTAATCAGTGCATTTCCAAATAACGTGACCTCAGCGTTTGATGGTGACTTGCCTATAGTTGCCCTACTTATATCATAGTGATAACGCAGTGATTAGAAGGTGTGATCTGCCTCTTCATCTTCCTTCCCTTTCTGGGACGTTTCTAATATAACCCCCCTCTCATGGTTCTCACTATATCCAACATGGTGAGATTTCCTAGCTTTATTTGTCATGCTTTTCTTTCTCATGGGTGCCATTATTCTTATGTTGTGTTTTCATACTGTTTGTATGCGTAATGAGTCGGATTTGAGTGCCCATGCGGCACACATTTTCTCCTCATTCGATGCTGCTCAGTTTTAAGGCAGAAATAAAGTACTGATGGGGAAATATGTCTTGCCTTGTCTAAACCGAACCCTGCTTCTGCTCTGATGGACTCATAGCTCTGTGAGATGGTTATGTTAATAGGACAAAAGTTATGAGGCGCCACACAACAGCTTCCTGTTCTAGGAGGTCAAAGGTGATTCACCTGCCTTGACAACTTGTCTTTCTCCCCAAATACACGTGGTGTATTCGGGTGTAACTGCAGAATCAACTGAGGTTTTACTTCTTTTTTTTGATTGTGTATTTTCTCCCTTGATTTGTACTTGTTAACATTGTCTTTAAATGACAGACACAATAATGAAAAAAGAAGATAATAAAGTGGTTATTGTTGAAACTGGATATCCACCTGCTTTATTTCTTAATGCTGAGCGGCTACAAGATGGGATGGCTTTAAACGACATTTCTCAGATTGTCTGCATTTGTCTTTTTCAATGGCTTTCTTTTTTATGTAATCCATTGACTTCAGTGCTTCTTACATTTTAAATGAATATCTTTCTATAAAAAGTCTCGATTTTTTTTTCCGGTTATCTTCCATAACTCCAAATCAATGCAGCATTGAATTACTACCAGTGACGGAAAGTAAGTGTAAGTATACTTACACTCAAGTTCTGTACTTAAGTACATATGAGTTACTTATTAAAAATATATATAATTTGTTATTCATTCAACTACACCCAACATTGTATTTAAGTGTAACTAAAGCCATGAGTGGATTAACAGTAAATTAATTGGCAGCCATTTTGATAAATTGTTTTTTCACAATTCCAGCTTCTTAAAATGTGAATTGGCTGCTTTTGCTTAATTTAAAAAACACATTTCAATATCTTTAAAAAAAACAAATGTCTGCAATGAGTAGTCCTATTTATACACCCAATACTTTAAGTACATTTACTTACTATTCTCGATGCAGTTATTTTACTTGAAATGACTGTGCGGTATTAGTACTTTTACTCAAGTAAAGTATCTGAATACTTTTCCCGCGCACTGCTTAGGCATACTACACTGGACCCCAGTGCAGAGGTACATAGCAGAGCACGAGGAGCTGCAGTACAGGGCTACTTAGCAGAGCAGATTACTCCCATGTGGATTGTGCCAGCACAGATAGTAAAACATGATTTTTAAATGAACTGTTGATCATGCTCATTCCCCCCCACAGCCAAATATAACAGACACAAGCTGAATCAAGCAGAGAGCTTGTTGCACCGTGGAGTAACAGCCTTCAGGGAGGCTAGTGCTCTTTCACAGCCATTGCAGGCTGTCCGTGAGATCACGTTCTCTCAGCTATATGAAAACTGACTCCCCAAGGTCTCTCCCACACCAAGCTGCCAGATTCTCCTCTCCTCGAGTAACAAACACATAGCAGAGTAGCAAGCAAGCCCTGTCAGTCACACACACACACAAAACCAGGTGGTTATCAGTCTTTCATTTCCCCAAAACATTATCAAATATTTTTGAATTGAGACAAGTATACAAAACTCAGTGTAATGAAAATGTATGTATTGTTCGTTCCAGTAAGAAAACACATTGTAAAATAATTGTTTTCAAACAAGGCAAGGACAGTTTAACCAGACAGTTGTTCCATGGAAAATAGATGCCATCATTTTCTCTTCCGCTAGATGGAGATGTTGGTCAGGATTGAGCAAAAATGTTCTAAACCAAAGTGAACAATAGCGGAGCAGACGGCCAGTAAACAACCACTATCACATGAATCAAAAGTGTTGCGCATATTTGTATAATAACAAAGTCATTTTTCAGTTCATGTGTATGACATCACAATGTGCCTGAAACGTGGTGATGCTAATGAGCAGTTAAAATAAACGGCCCAGTACTCCAGGCCAAACTCTGAGCGATGTGGTCGTGTGTTTCTTCTATCCGTTAGCATACTTACAAGCTACTTTGGTTGACTGCAAACGTGTGTATATAATGTCTCACGCAACAGGTTATGGGCCAAGTCAAGGAGGCCAAAGGTGGTTTAAGTTGTTATTCGACGGTGACGAGAAAAACTTTGAGTTATGGGAGACGAGGTTTTTGGCGCACATGGAACTGCGCGGCCTCAGTGAAGTTATCCTGGAAGAGCCAGCGATAGACTACGACGAAGAAGACGCAACAAAGAATGCAGAAGCATATGCTGAATTAGTGCAGTGTCTAGATAAGAGTTTATCACTCATAATGAGAGACGCGAAACAAGATGGAAGAAAAGCGTTGGCAATACTCCGAGAGCACTACGCAGGAAAGGACAAACCACGAGCCGTGAGCCTGTACTGTGAACTCTCTTCTCTCCACAAAGCAAGCAACGAGACTGTTACTGATTATATTATTCGAGCGGAGACTATATTCACGTCTTTGAGAAGGGCCGAAGAAAATATCAGTGACGGGTTGCAGATTGCCATGGTAGTGAAGGGGTTACCGGACTCATTCAACCCGTTTGTCGTGCACGTCACTCAAACCAACGACCGTCTAACGTTCGGTGAGTTCAAAGCTAAACTGCGGAGCTATGAGAGCACTGACAAATATAGGACGAATGACATGAATGCGGACGGCATTATGAGGACTAGCGGGGCGAGGACGTGGAAGAGGGAAGAAGATGGACTTAGCCGACACTGAATGCTACACATGCGGAAAGATGGGGCATATGGCTAGAACATGCCCTAACGCAGGGGTCTGCAACCTTTTTGACCAAAATAAACATATTTCATAGTTTTTTATTGTTATATCAGACAAAAACTACAGTTTTTTTGCATTTATTAGGCTATTTATTACATGATATAAAACCATTAACCTCTAATAAGAAACAAATAACTCTTATAAAAGAGAATTACAAATAATACACAGGCCTACTTTAAAAATAAATTAAACATAACACTTGGAGTCCTCTGCACATTTGAAGGAAAAAAAAAAATATTAAAATGGGCCCACTTTGAAATAAAAACATATAGCTGCACCCTAAAAAGAGTTAAAGGTAGGGTAGGTAAGAATGGAGAAACCAGCTCGAGTGCGCTAGAATTTGAAAGTACACAACCGGAAAAAATATGCCTTCAGACTTCCTTACAGAGTCCCTCCTCCAACACACACGAACATGACCAATGAGGAAACGAGATAAGTTTGTGCACAGCTGACAGGTAGGTAGGCCATCCAGTTACTTTAGCCAGGCCGGCTCAGAAGATTGGTCGTGCTTTTTACAGCGCTTCGGCTTCCAGAGATTAATTTTTGTATGTATTTATTGTCAAAGCATTTAATATATTCATTGCCATCGGGACGTTAAGAGCATTCCATGGAATATAACAAAAAGTGTTTTCTGAAATAAATGACACACCCCATTGAATTATGAAGATCGTCAGCTGTCTTCCTCTCCCTTGTTGTTCCTCGATACGTAAAGGCTGCACCACCGTTGACAACTTCTCTACATATCAAACATACCGGAAAACCAGCATCGTTTGCTGTGAAAGCAGATAACTCTGTCCACACAGAATTAAATCCTGTGTTCCTCCGGTACTTTTCTTTGATTTATCCATAGTTCGCTCATCGAGCCGGGGGTCAGGTTATTCGCCTCCAAGAAAAAGCGCTCGCGCGGGACCGTAGCAGGATGTGCCGCATATTTTTAGTTGACCTAATTAAAACCGTTTTGTTTTTTATTTATGTGTCACAGTATCACCTCAAAATACGAAACATTTTTCAACCATGCAACAACATATAAATAGTCCTACAAATACTTTTATTTTCTTCTTATTTTTGTCTAAGCTCAAGGGAGCCAGAGCAGAGGGCTTAAAGGGCCGCGGGTTGCCGACCCCTGCCCTAACGAGATCCAAGCGAGACGAGAGGAGCGACACGCCACACCGAGGAAGGGGCCGAGGCAGAGGGCTAGGCCGTGATCAGGTGAAGAAGGCAGACGGAGACACGGAGGATGATACCGGTGCATCATTCTTTTTCAAAATAAGTGACTGTCAAAATCAAGTAGGAAATAAGAGGTCTTATGGTCGACTGTGGTGCCACGACACACATGATTAATGACCCGGCAAAGTTTAAGAAAATCGATAAGAGCTTTAGACCCGAGGACCATGTGATAGAGCTGGCAGATGGAACGAAAACTACCGGGATGGCGAAGATGAGGCGAAGCCGAAGTTGTTCTGCTCGACAGCAAGTGAAAACGAGGCTCAAACAAGCGCTTTACATCCCATCTTTTCCACAGGACATTTTCTCCGTGAAAGCAGCGACAGCCAGCGGAGCTGTGGTCCGCTTCAAGGACGGTGATGATTGGCTGATTCATCAAAATGGTACTAAGTTTAAAATGGATGTGTATGGTAGGCTATATTACCCTTGCACAGTAGAGGATGAAAATACTGATGATGTTTGTAATGGTTGTCATGACATCCAGACATGGCATAGAATACTTGGTCATTGTAATTTTGAGGATGTGTCTAAACTTGAGAAAGTGGTTACAGGTATGTCGATCAAAGGGAAACATGACATGTCTAACCATAACTGTGAAACATGTACGCAGGGAAAATTTACTCAAAGCAGAAACAGGCAGGCAGATGCAAAAGCTAAGACAGTACTAGAGCTAGTACATACAGACCTATGTGGTCCAATAGAACCAGCAGATAAAGACGGGTACAGATATGCAATAGCATTTACTGATGATTATAGTGGGATGATTTTTCCCTACTTTATCAAAGCAAAGAGTGATACAGCAAAAGCTACTGAAAAATTCATAGCGGATACTGCTCCATATGGACACATTAAGTGCATAAGATCTGACAACGGTACTGAATTCACTGGGCATGAGTTTCAAACTTTACTTAGGACGAAAGGGATAAGGCACGAGACAAGTGCCCCATACTCACCTCACCAGAACGGTACTGCTGAGAGGTTGGAGGACCATATTTGAGATGTCACGATGCATGCTATTGGAGAGTAAACTCCCAAAGCAGTTATGACATATGCTGTACAGACAGCAGCGCAGATACGTAACAGGTGTTACTGTAAGCGTCTAGAGCAGACACCATACCGTGTTTTTACTGGCAAAACACCCAACATGAAAATATTTGGCTCTGAATGCTACGGGTATAAACAGGATAAGAAGAAGCTAGATTCTAGATGTGCAAAGGGTATTTTTGTAGGATACGACAAATATAGCCCAGCATTCCAAGTATTTTATCCTGAGACGGGGAAAGTCCTGAAACATAGGCTGGTAAAATGTATCACAAAGAGTAGTGCAGATAGTCAGACAAATCATAATATGGATTTTGACACTTATGGAGAAACTATTCCCACAACACCAGCAGGGACACAAATGGTGAACCAGAATCAGAGAGAGCCTAATGTGGGTGTACAGTC